TCTTCAAGGATTTTTCTTTATGTAACCGTAAAAAGTATTTGATGAACACTTTCCAAAAGAACACACGAGATATCGCAGGATTGGGGTAAATAAAGAAATCTAATCATTATACAATTCATTCATTATTAGATAAGTACTGAAAATTACGTTTGAATCGGATACTTCTATCATATTTGTCAAATATTTTAAAACAGGAGGTATCGATTTTTTGCTTCCTTTCCAAAAAACACATCCAGTTTGATACTAGTTGTACTGTGGTGACAGAAAATTAATTAAATGAACAAATAAAAAGAGACAAAATTTCAAAACCTCTAAAAGCAGATGGGTAATAAAACTCAACAAGCAAACAAAGCCATAGTTAGACGAACCAATCAGAAAACTTTCGCAACCAGTATGTAAGAAAACAAAACTAATAATAATAATAATAATAATAAGAGCAAAATTTCACCAGGTCTAATAATAGATAGTTCGACCCACCAATCAGACATAAGACTGTGAGACAATGAGAAGCGAATGATTTTTTCAAAGAGGTTCTATAAACTGATGAAAAATCAACCAAAATCAGTCGATAAATTAATTTTGTCTACTTATTATGCTGCGGTTATCCTAATATAGCCAGAGACGAAATACGGCATTTACAAGACTAGCTGGTGATCTTAGCAGCTAACCCGTCCTTACTACGTTGAAAACAAACACACCTTCTTTCCCCCATGTCGCCGAGCGACGACTATTACATTTGGATACATAAATACATACATATCATATATATATATATATATATATATATATATATATATATATATATATATATATATATATATCCACCTGGACTCTTTTCTATCTCTCTTATGCGCCAGGACATTTGTACTTGAACAATTGAAAACTTCAATTTTACCGGATCCTATATATTATTATATTGTGCATATAAAGATTTATTTTTTTTTTATTTTTCAACATTTTGTGGATTTTTTTTTAATATGTACACAAGGCCCGTATACACCCAAATCAGCTATATCGATGTATGTTACTTACGGAAATTGTCGAAAGATAAGCAACTAATCCATAACTGATAACCTCCTAAATTTCATAATAGTATTAACACAAGTTAATACAGCATGAATCAAAAATTTTTGGTCATTTACTATACTTTCTTATTTGTAATAGGAAGATAATTGGTTTTCAATGGAAGAAACAGGGTTAAAACAATTTCATTATGTCCTTTCACGAGCAGAAACAGGAAGGAAGTTAATCGAAAGAATATATCATTTAAATATATGAGGTGGCAAACAAAGTATTTCCAGATAGGTCAATAAAAGTTATGAGGTCAAAATATCGGTTGAATGCAATGAATATCGACTTCTATAAAAAGTATTTTTAAATGTTTAGAAAAGTAGTAGTTTTCTTAAATATATTTTTAATCATTTACATCCCAAGCAAGACAATAAAGCCCCTAAGACACAAGGGGTTACTGAGTGTGAAAGAATAATTAAAAGAGAAACAATTTTAAGAAGTGAAAACAATAAAAGAACAGGAATGAAAAAGATAGTAAATAACGATTGACATTGCATTTACATTTTTGAAGATCAAAGTTGGCTGGAAAGTATAAAGCCGTAAGATAGTTCCCTAAGTGAGAACTGTAAAAGAAGAAACTGTTGCTATAGAACTTACGGTTACATCTAGCCAAAAATAATTGGAAATTTTATTAAAAAATATTTTAAATACGGGACACAAGTTCTTTTAATACCAGGGTTTATTATTTGCGAACACGATCTTAATAATCGAATTATAATGATGTAATAGTAATATTAGCCATTTTCCTACAAACATTTGGCATTCATTGACCGAGCAGCTGACACTGCTTTCAGTTAAAATTTACAAAATCTTTTTCTTAAAACAATTTTTTAGGTAAAAAAGTTTTTTTAAGTCCAGTCGCTGTTATTGCTTTTTCCACTATTAATGTGGGTTGGGGTCCTTCCTAAACTTTTATTTGAAGTAGTGTGGTATGTCAACATCTTGATTAAGATATGCAGATGACACCCTGTTGATGGTGGACACAGAAAAATGTAGGAACACCTAGACAAGGTAGATAAAATGGTTCAATCATCCATTGTATGAAGAACAAATATATGGTCTTTAGCAAGAGGAACATTTCAAAATCCAAGCCAATAATTGGAGACGTCAGAATAAAGTAATTATAGAAATTTAACTGGAAAATCTTATCACAGAGGCGGGTATATGTGAGGGAGATACGACAGTACAACTGCTATGCAATATTAGTCCTCTTATAAGAATGTGAATGTTGGACAATTTTATCACGGATGATGAGGAGATTTGAGACAACTGAGGTGTCTCTCTATAGAAGGATACTGAGAATACGATGGACTGAACATGGGAGTAGCGATTAAGTAAACTGTGAACAAAAATACACTTGTACATAGAATCAGTAAAAAGCTGAATTTTCTGAGATTGGTATTTTTTTATAGTGATGTTCACCCAGTACAAGGCCCGGGAGCCATTCGAGATAGAGTCTTACAGAGTAAGAGGCGGAGTTTAGGCGGATAATATGATGAAGATAACGGTTAACCTTAGACTAAAATTGTAGTGATTGGGAAAACGCCCTGTTGAGATTTGAATCTACAGAAGAGCGGTTCGCATGAAAAACTATTCGAGTGAAACTTACATCACACAAATACAAAGGGAATGAGGGTACATCGCTACAATGTATGTACCATGATGGAACTTAGTCGTGAAGGTTAGAACGGGTGGAACGAAGGAATGTAGAACTTTCCATAGAAATAGCGATAGAACAGTGAAGGGCTTGCGACATTTCATCTGTGAGAAAAACGGTCCTAAGGTGGGTAAAAATTTGTCGCTCACAAGGATGCGGAGACGCCTTTGGATGCTATCGAGACTGGAAAGTGAAGACTGGGAAACTCCTGGCAATATATAGCAGAAGTACTCCATTTTAGGCCTGGTCTGGCTCTTGTAAAGTTAGAGTATAATACGAGCAGTTAGATACTCACTGGAATGTTATAGGTAAAGCAACTTTAGCGATGTAACGTATGTACAGGCTCCACTTCTGGGTAGAGTTTAAGACTCAATAGACGCCCTAGACTCGGAGCATCCTTGAGGGAACACCGATTCACCGTGACTGATGATAGTTCAGCGTCCTGTCTTCTAAGATGACATGCCATTCGTTTAGTTTTCCAGGCATTGTATGTAACCTGCCAGTTTTTCCACTAGTGAGATGCTAGAGTCCGGTCAGAGGAGGGATCAGCTACATAGATATTCACAAATGATCTGAGTATACGCTTAGGCAAACCATTTATGTAAAGTAAAAAGAAGGTTGCTCCGAGAAGCGACCCTTAGTCTTTCTTAGATTAGAACTTGAGACTGCCCGGACTGTAGTTAAAATATTAATGAGATTATTCTCACTGAGACGGGGTTAGTCGTTCAATTAGAGGCAAAGACTGAGGCGAAGAGCTTCGCCTCGTCTGTCGAAAAAGAGATGTTATAAAATAAAATAAGACATATTTCGGCTGATTTACAGGCAAATAAACTAACATACTCAAGAGCGAGAACCGTATGTGAAAGGGACAAGGCCCCGTTACAAAATGATCATTATCTTTGTTTACGCATGTTCCCGACGTACGAGTTCTGGTCGAAAAATAAAATAATATTTTAAAGTGTTTCTATTTTTCGACGAATAAAAATGCTTCCCTTCTAATTATACTCGCGTCGTTTATCGAGCCTGTTAAGTCATAAAAAAACGCCATAAAAGGGGTCACACGGAAGTACAACAGGCAGTCAACAGGAGGCCAGGGAAGAGACCTACCACGGTCAGGCTGAGCGGTCAGCAGCAGTCAGCAGGGGGAGCGCCAGCGCCAACCAGTGTGAACTACTATGAGAGACCAACCCAGATTCGAAGCCGGCTTATGAACTATACCACAAGGTACCTGTCCCAAATCCGCACGTTCCTGTTGAAATAAATCACGTAAATCTATTTCTGCTGTTGTCGTATTTCTTTCTTGCAACCATACGCTTGTCTATAACAGAGATGACCTCGGGGTCATTTATACTAGTGGGCACAGACGCATTGACTCTACTCGTAATTTGGTTGGAGATGTTCCAGAATTCTCGAGATCTAATTTGTTTTTTTTTTTTTTTTTCAATCTTAGCCTAGACTGTTTGTTTATAGCTACACTTCGCCTTTTCCAGAACTTTCTTACAGCAATTGCAAGCAGTTCCGAATGCAGTAAGTGTTGAAGCTGCTCATTATGATAGATATTAAATTAATAGTTGCAGTAAGCTATGACTGCAGCACCTTCAGGAGTGGAACGATGCTGGCTGTTCAGTTTTTGATGCTTGGAGAATTTGATATTTTCAGGACATACAGGCGAAAGTAGGGGCAGATGAAAGCGTTGAGTAACCAGCATAACGATCTTGTGTAAATGGATCTTAGAACAGCGACTGGGAAGGATAGTAATTAGACAAACATTATTTAGAGTTACAAAGGATAGCAAATGGGGGAGAGCCATGATCACCCACAATCTGAAAGGGCGGTCTGATGCAAAGTAGTTCATTAGTTTTATTCAATTGTTTAACCAATCATTTATCTTACAAATTATGTCTTATTTATCTCATTAATTTCTTATCTATGACTCTCTGAATAAATTCTTTCATCACTTGTATTCAGTTTGGGGTTATAATTATTGACATGGTGATACACATAATTATTTCTCGGTTTGGTAATAGATTTTTATTTTGTCATTTGTTACTGACGTGTAGAATTTTTGTTTTAGACTATGCAGAGAAGATGAGAAGATTTAAGAAATTCTTATCTCAGGAGATGTGAATTTATTAATATTTGAACACAAAAGCGTTTATTTTACGTCAGTGTAAACAAAAAAGAAGTTTGTGCAACAACAATTTCTCTAAATAAAATATTGGCTAGTTTACGCTAAAATCCAACTATATCTTCAGTTTTAAAATACGAGTCTCTAGTTATCGGTACTAAAAACATAGCTAGATATGAACAGATAGATAGATAGATAGATAGATAGATAGATAGATAGATAGATAGATAGATAGATAGATAAGAAGGGATTAAGAGAGAGAGATACGAATAGACTGAGGTAGATATGAATAGACTGATACACATAGATAGATCGATAGATAGATAGATAGATAGATAAACATGAACAGACTGAGATAGAAATGAGCAGGCTAACATAGATAGATATTTAGATAAATATATAGTTATGAACAAACCGATATATACATATATGTATATATATATAGAGAGAGAGAAAGAGATAGATAGATAGAGATAGATAGATAGAGAGATAGAGAGAGAGAGATAGAGAGATAGAGAGATAGAGATAGATAGATAGATAGATAAGCATGAACAGACTGAGATAGAAATGAGCAGGCTAACATAGATAGATATTTAGATAGATATATAGTTATGAACAAACCGATATATACATATATATATATATATATATATATATATATATATATATATATATATATATATATATATAGAGAGAGAGAGAGAGAGAGAGAGAGATAGATAGATAGATAGATAGATAGATAGATAAGAGAAAGATTGAGAGAGAGATACGAATAGACTGAGGTAGATATGAATAGACTGATACACATAGATAGATAGATAGATAGATAGATAGATAGATAGATAGATAGATAAACATGAACAGACTGAGATAGAAATGAGCAGGCTAACATAGATAGATATTTAGATAGATATATAGTTATGAACAAACCGATATATACATAGATAGATAGATAGATAGATAGATAGATAGATAGATAGATAGATAGATAGATAGATAGATAGATGAATAGATGAAATTTACTTACGTGGTACTGGAGGTTTTACTCAGTAGCAATGAGAAGAATGAAACTTTAAAGAATCCGTTTACTAACTTGTTAGAGAGCCTCGAAAATATTATGAAAGCTCAACGAAAGTTTCAGCTAACGACAGGATCGAAAAATGTTACAGGAAAAAACAAAACATAATTACTTGGGCGAATAGACTGACGCCCTACAAGCATAGAAAAGAAATAAACGAAAAAGCATAAAAATGAATACTCGAGAGAATTCCGACGCGTGAGCAAAACGCCATTTTATAGAAGAGAGTAATGGGCCAGGGATATAAGAAAAGTCTTACACGAGAGTCAAAGTTTTGCTACTTAACTCCCAGAGGTTAACTGTCGGACACGGAAGTTAGATTGACCTGACCGGTCAGGAAAGGTTCCAGTCAGCGTTTGTCTTATTGTGGCCAAAATGAATAATTTGACCTCCTCTGATCGATTGACTGTTTCATTCAGCGTCTAATTTGGACTGCGTGGAAACAGATTGGCTCATTAAATGGGAAAATACAATGGAAAGGAAGTGGATATTTAGTAGACAATGTAAATAGGGGAAGAGTAGAAAGAGAAATACAAATAGAGAGCAGAAATGGAGGCTGGAAAGGAAAAGGAAGAAAAAGAAAGACACGGAAAGAAGAGAACAAGACGAATGAAATAAAAATGGTGAAATAAAAGGAAAATGAATGATTAAAGAAATAAAAGAATGAAGGAACTAAAAATTGAAAGAATAAAAGAATGAGAGATTGAAAGAATTTAGGAACGAGAAAATAAAAGAATTAAGGAACGAGAAATTGAAAGAATGAAAGAACGAGAAACTGAAAATAGGAAGGAACGAGAAATTGAAAGACTGAATGAACGAGAGATTGAAAATGGGAAGGAACGAGAAATTGAAAGACTGAATGAACGCGAGATTGAAAGACAAAAGGAACTGGAAATTGAAAGAATGAATGTTTAAAGAAATGGAAAATGTGAAGGAACGAGAATTTGAAAGATTGAAAGAACGAGAAATTAAAAGAAAGAATGAACGAGAAATTGAAAGAATGAAGAAACATGAAATTGAAAGAATTAAGAAACGATAAATTGAAAGAAAGAATGAAAGAAGGAAAAAAGGAAAGAAAAATTGAAAGAAAGAAGGAAAAATGAAAGAATGAAGGAAAGAGAAATTGAAAGAAAGAATGAAGAAACGAAAAACTGAAAGAATTAATGGAGAAATTGAAAGAAAGTGTGAAGGAAAGAAAAATGAAAAAATAAAGGAGTGAGAAATTGAATGAAAGAATAAAGGAATGAAAAATTAAAAGAATGTACGAATTCAAGTATTGCAT